GTAAGATAAAGCGATGAGGACCAAATGGGAGACCAGTGATCAGATGAATATTACAGACTCAAGGGTAGCCTTCTCTTCTTGTATATAAATGAAAAAATGAATTCGTTTGTTTAATTCTAATGCTTGTAGGCGAGAACAGTTGTGAACGCCAGCTAGCGCACAAGTACATGAGCGCCCAAAATACTTTTACACAAAAGACATGTACAGACAGGTGTGTGGCTTCTGACTTCTTTTTTATTGATTAATATTAAATATTAGGCGCTTACCTATAATAGTTATCATTTTATACAAGTATAACTCTCACATAATAAATATAAAAGGAGTTTATCCAAAAACTGACAGAAGTGTTGTGTTTTGTGCGTTGTATCGTGTTTGTGGGCATTCGGGTGTGTTGTGTTTACGCTGGCGGGCGGCGTCCTTACCAACTCCGGATTATGTCTATTACATCACTAAACTTCATTTAATAACTATATGCCTGTTAAATAAAAGATTTTAATTGTTAATAGCATTATATTGTCGTTTTAATATGGAACACGTACACATGCGAAACGTCGAAAGCTGGTGTCCGAAGTGGTAAAAATATTAGTGTGCGATGTTGTCAATGTACGGAGTGTCTTGTATCCTAGAAATGGTTAGGCATGTTTTACTTCACCTAATGCCTCTGTTCACCCAGTAGTAAATAGGTACCCGGATAGCCAGGCAACTGTTGTGGTGTTACATCCTGGGGAAGGTCAACAGTTAGACCTGGGAGGTTACCCGATACAAGCTTAAAAGTCATATTTAGTTATACACATCCTTCCTGACCCCGACAAAATTAGTTATTTACCTTCTCCCTAACAGCCAGCTGCTGCTCACAAAGATCTGTAGAGGTAATGAAAAACACTGAAATAAAAATATTAAAGACAGATGCACTAATAATTATGTTTCATTTATATATATTTATTGCTAAAACGGTAAAAAATACATCAAAGAACATTTAATGTATTTAAGATATAAAATATTATTTATAATAATTCTACTGTATTTATATTAGAAAGTAAATATATTTGTTTTTCTTTTCTACATTATGTAATGCGTATATACAGTTCAAAAGTTTAGTTTTCTATGAATTGTCTCAAGACTCGTTTTCTTTCTTTTATTTATGGACCAACTAGTGTGTTTCATGTAAGGCTAAACACATTAAACAAAAAATCTTAGATTAATTATAACGTTAGTAACATTTTGAAAGTAAATTTATTGATGAAACCTTTGAAATAGCAAACAATATGGTCAGTACAAGTGCATCTGTTGCGTTTTGAAATTGAAATGGGCAAAATAGTGTAATTTAATATCTGTCATATCCACAAATTCATCTATATGGTATCGTAATCCTTTGTCCTATCTCCAAAAGTGTCTTTGTTGTCATCGAAAATAAAATATAAACTTGGCCATGTCATTAGTATCTTGTAGTAGAGGGGGGTAGAAATAGCCTAAGCTACTCTATCCCTTTGCGATGAATTTTTTCTTGTCTCAATAAACATACTTGAACTTGAATTATTATCAAATTTAACCTTTTACCCATTTACGCATTATGCCTAAGAGGACAATTCTCTCAATCAGCTTCTGTGCGTGCAGAGGCTACGAGACCATGGATCACCTGTAGATAATAACAATACGTATTCATATAAATATATAAAATACAAACATATGAATCGTGCTACAGTGAAGTACTCGCAGGTATACAATTTAAATTATATGAAGCCACTAATACGCAGAGTGGTTCCCATTGTTGGATACAGGATAGTCGAGGTTTTTGCACCAAGATTGGTACCAGAGCCAAGAGGGTTAACCAATGAGGATAGGTTAATGGAACTAAATCTCACAACCCTATCTATCCTTCCCCTTTCTATCAACCATTTCTATCAAGGATAGAAGAAACCGAGGGGGAATATGATCACAACATATAAGATACTGAGGGTGGGGGGAGTACAAGGATATTCTCTTCAGAGTGAGAGAAAGTAGGACAAGAAGACACAGGTAGAAGCTGAAAACGCAAATTAATGAACCGAAGGTGTAAGGAAATGGTCGTACCCTGTACTGGTAGTCAAGTAAAATGCACTAAACACAAAGAGTTGTGGAAGGCACCTCCATCTACATCTTTAAGGCCAGATTTAACAAAGAATTTGAACATCAGAATAGTTATATTGTAACACACAGTTAGTATTTTTAGCTTTGGTTACAATTGTGACCAATGGAGATAAACCTAACCTCCCATAGACACACAGGTACGTACTGAGGGGTAAGTACAGGAATATGTTGACCAGACTTCACACTAGAAAGTGAAGGGACGACGACGTTTCGGTCCGTCCTGGACCATTCTCAAAATCATCGACTTGAGAACGGTCCAGGACGGACCGAAACGTCGTCGTCCCTTCACTTCCTAGTGTGTGGTCTGGTCAACATACTTCAGCCACGTTATTGTGACTCATCGCCTGCATAAGTACAGGAAGCCTGTTTAGGATTTTCAATGCCTCCTGGACCAACTGCTGATGATCTTCCCAAGGATGCAACCCAAAAATGAGTTCCCTACCTCCTGTATACTTATTTACTGCTAGGTAAACAGAGGTATCAGGTGAATCGAAATGTAAGAACCCAATTATACTCAGTGCTCTGAGTAAGTCATAGGTGAATCGATCATCGCATACTTAATTGTTCTTCCGCCTTGTTCTTGAGATTATTTTACAAGAAGTTAGACTCTCCTCCCATATCCTATCTGTGTTTTAATCAACACTTCTCTTGCATAAATGTCTTTTTAATGACGCATGAGGAGTCACGGTAATTTCTCCGATAAAGTATTTCCCTTTCTATTGAAGTCTATTTTCTACTTTATAATCACTCTCTTTCCATTGAAGTCTAGCAACTCTTTCTCGCCAGTGAGGAGAAGCCTCTCCAGTGAAGTCGAGCCACTCCTTATATTAATCTTCTGTTCTTTGGCTACTTGGCATAGTTTCAAAGAAGGATATAAGCTTGTTTTATATTTAGCTCCTCAGAACGAAATGTCCATGTAGCACGAGTTAGGTTATTGAGTTAGGCTATTCGCAATAACCTTATTACTGTGGTATTTGGGTCAGTTTTAAATGGAGATGGGGTTTCCTTCTTTTTTTCCCGTTTCTTTTCCGCTTCTGTTTTAGCGCACTGGTTTTAGTCTTGTTTTAATAACATTATAGCATGCATTGTGCTAATAACATTTACATAGCACGCACTAGCTATGCGTGCTAGAGGCTTTACAAGAATACTCACACTCCGCCTAAGTTAAACAAAAACAAGCAACACTTAGTGGACCAGTCAGAGGCTTAGAGCCCACGCAGGTATTTCCCTGCAAAAAAGTAAAACATCAATGTTATGTACTCTCATAAACCCAATGTACTTTCTTGTATATAAATAAATAAATAAAATAAATTATCTTGGTGGCAGATATAGATGCACAGTGTTCATTAGTGTGTCCCATTCTTCAACTGCTTTTCTAATCATTGTAGTCAATGTGGATTTAGCAATTAATGCAGCTGCTCTCATTGGATTAATGTCGAGTTTGATGCGCAGGGCTTCAGTTCCTTCACATTCCAGTAAGTAATGCAATAGTGGCGCCTCTGCATCTGTTCCACGGATATGATACTCTTTAACTATTTGGTTTATTACCTCCCAGCAGCACTTGTAACCAAGTCTTGAGTCTGTGTATGGCTACTGCAATGTCTCTGGATATCTATTTGTCAGGTATGAAAGAGTAGTACCCAGTGGCTTGTTCGTACCATATCGCAGTGGATCTTCCTTCCGCTACTTTGGCTGTGTGGCGACTTTTGATAGTTGGGAGTATTTTCTTCTTTATTTGTTCCTTAATCTGTGAAAAACTTGGAGGTATTTGAACCTGTACAACAGGTAGAGTCTTCCTGAAAGGAAATGTGCCACTCACAGGGAGCATTCCCGTTTCTGAAAGTGTTGATATTGGCAGTTTTTGCTAGCGAGTCTGCCTTTTCATTACCATCTATGCCAATGTGACTTGGTATCCAAGTTAGGGTGATTGATAGCCCTAGAATGTGTGCTTCTTTTCCTATATGTTGGATTTCTGTGATGAGTTGTATATTATCTCTGTGCTGACTGGATATCAATGCCTGGAGCAAAGATTTAGAGTTGGTATGAATGATAACATCATGTAAATTATTCTCAATTGCATAATTTATGGCCTCCTTCAGGGCATATAATTCTGTTTGCAATGTTGAGCACCCACTATTCATGCTCCAGTAAGCTTCATGGTTTAGTGTAAACTGCTGCCCCAGCAGAACCTCTTTCCTGATCAACTGATCCATCTGTGAAGATGTGAGTGGTTGTCGGTCTTGAAATAGTTTCAATTTTTTGTTCTATGACTGCATTGAGTCTGCGAGTCACATGCTGTTTTGTTTTTTTTGAACTAGTAATCCTTCAATGATTATCTTTAGACACGATTCTGTTCATGAAGGAGGCTGCCAAAAGTGTTGATAAGGTCTATATTCTCCTTTGTTTTTAATGGTCCGTTTCAATTCACTTTCACTAGAATCTTAACCAGATTGTTGACCAAACCACACACTAGAAAGTGAAGGGACGACGACGTTTCGGTCCGTCTTGGACCATTCTCAAGTCGATAGTGTGATAATCTCGTTGACCAGATTATCCGTCCATGCACTTATTCTATATTGAAGGTTTCTGTGAAGCGATCTGTGTATGCTGTCTTTGATGGACAGTCTGGCGGTGGGTCCACCCAACTAAAGAGGATCGATCATATCGTCCTGTTAATATGTGTTCGAGGTAATGGTTAGGTGTGAGTGGCGCTCCACGAAATAGTCCAGACAAAAGAGAAGGATTATTTGATTGAATTCGTTGACGCCATAAGCTGTTCTCTCTAGACCACTTGGACTGATCACTGTGACGACTACAGGCCACTTGAACTGGTCGGTAATAGCGACGACCTCACTCTTTCAAGTCGGCGTTCGATGGTGCAAGTGGCTGGGGCGCCGTTCCCCTACTCCATCTCCCCTATTCCAGTTCGTATCCTATCCAATGTACTCCGTAAAAGTACATAATCATACTAGCTTAGCGCTTTCTCCTCATAATTTCCTTCATTTCGCTATAACATTTTTTAATTACTTTTAACCACGAGGGAGCGACAGAATTGTCTCAAGTCTCCCCGTGGCACGAACCTCAGGCAACTGGTAAACCTGTATTTCATTGTATTTGGTGTTACCGGCGACTGGTTAGCCAACAAAGAACAGCGAATTGCTTCTTGTTGGAGTAGCTTGCCTCGAGATCTGTAAATCCTGTCTGGGTGGACGGGGACATACATCTTCAAGCTGTCAGTCGTTTTTCTCTCTGCATTCTCCGAGATGTGTCATTTACAAGTCAAATTTCTCGGCCGGGATCTAGAGTGCTATTTACCCGGCGTCCACACATCATCAGGCTAGTATCTGATATTGCATCATGGTGGATGGTGCATACCCCTGCCCCCCTGCCTCTCAGGGGCAGGGGGCAGGGAGAGCTCGTCGGCCCGGGATGACAGGAGGCCTGTACCAGGCTGACTGATGGCCTCTTCTGCAGACGTTTTCCTCTCTCGTCGACCGCAAGGGGCGGGTGTAAAATCGTCCGCTGCAGTGTAGGATGACCTCGCCTCCCCCCTTCCCCAAAATGAGGTGGCAAAATGGTCCGTGGCTGCTTGTCCGTACTTGGTTCGTACAGACCTTGGTTCATAGTAACGTCCGCCTGTATTACGTACGCCTGTACTGACTGTCCGTCTGATCCATTCGTGTACGAAGTGGAATGTGATTAGAGAGAACGTGGTCTGCGGGAACATAAACTGAAGAAAACGAACAGTTCAATACTCTTTATCGCCTACAACTCTACGCCTTGGTGGCGCTACAACTTTGGATCAGTTGGTACAATTGCAGCAGCACAGGGGTGTCTTTATTTTTTATTATCATATTTAGATATGAAAGGTTACATAGTGAGTCACGAGTCTACGTGATGCTAAAAGAAAAGTCCCCCCCTATCCCACAGGATGGTTAGTCATACAGAGCCATGTTACCAGTAGCTCCACTTGCTTGCTCCACTAGCACACTCTGGATGCATCACGAGGATATCCTCAAGAACACGAGAGGTAATAAAGCAATTGCAAAGCTCCAGGCACTTCATACCGGCAAAACTGGTGGGGTCTAATGACTGGAAATTCAATAATGTAGCGTGTGTGTGTGTGTGTGTGTGTGTGTGTGTGTGTGTGTGTGTGTGTGTGTGTGTGTGTGTGTGTGTGTGTGTGTGTGTGTGTGTGTGTGAGGTCAGGATTCAGTTCTTGCTGGCAGAGTCTGCACCTGGCGTCACCTGGCTGTGGCCACCTGCGTCACCTGGCTATGACCACCTGTCACAGGTAACGGCAGCCCAACCTGATCCTGGGAACAACGTGTCGCAGTCTGGTGGGTGTTCTCTGCTGCCCCTTGTGCATAGGTTTCGGGTTTCAAGAAATCCTAGCTTTTTATATTGGTGTTTTCAGGCCATTGGGAATCAGTAATTTCTCTCCTGTCAGACTTAACGCAGAGACTACGAGCGAGCGCCCTAGACCAGCACAAACGTGAGCGCTCTAGACCTACGCAAAGTGAGCGCCCTAAACTCGCTCAGAAAGTGAGTTGCTTTTAACCAGCGAAGAGAGCGCCTCCTCCCCCACCAAACACAGGAGTGATAGGGAAGGTGTTCCAGTGAATAAGTGAAGTATGTAAACAAAAACTTAACATGGCGAGTTATCGTGAGAGGAAAAGATCTTGGAGTGACGAGATGTCAGAGCGGAGACCCACAGGGCTCAGTACTCAGACCTAACTTATTTCTGATCAGTGTAAATATTCTTCTATGGGAGGCACTCATTCCTCTCAATGTTTGCCGATGTAAAAATTGAGGAGGAATATCGGAAGAAGATGGCAAGAAATTCCAAGATAACCTTGGAGAAACTGAAGATTGGTCCAAGATAACCTTGGACAAACTGAGGATTGGTCCAAGATAACCTTGGACAAACTGAAGATTGGTCCAAGATAACCTTGGACAAACTGAAGAATGGTCCAAGATAACCTTGGACAAACTGAAGATTTGTCCAAGATAACTTTGGACAAACTGAAGATTGGTCCAAGATAACCTTGGGCAAACTGAAGATTGGTCCAAGATAACCTTGGACAAACTGAAGATTGGTCCAAGATAACCTTGGACAAACTGAAGAATGGTCCAAGATAACCTTAGACAAACTGAAGAATGGTCCAGGATGGAGCGAAACGTTAATATTCTTTCATTTTCAGATTTGCGGGTTGGGTGTCTATGAGATGTGAGTTGCTAGGAAAGACAGAGAATTGGACCTTGCTTCATTGGAAGATATAAGGCTCAGAGGAGACATGATTACCACGTAAAAAATTCCCATATTATTAATATATATATATATATATATATATATATATATATATATATATATATATATATATATATATATATATTATATATATATATATATATATATATATATATATATATATATATATATATATATATATATATATATATATATAATTGTCAGATAAAATGCTAGAAAAATGATATGAGTGTATTGGTCTAATATTGAAATGTAATATTATCAAAAAGGAGTGTTGGTGGGTTGGTAATGTGAACGAGTTGCGGGAACCGTCGGGGTCAGTGTCGGTGTGTTGCGGTGACGGCCGTCGGTCATCTAGGATGACAAATGGATGAAAGTTGGGTCATTAATATAGCTACGACACTCCCACAAGCTTGCGGGCACTAAAACTCGTATTTCAAAATATGATTTACAGTCCTGCTCTTCCTACAGGCACAAGGAAGTGCAGAGGACTGCTGTTGCAATGTCTGTCGTGTCTTGCAATGTCCATGTAGGAAATGTAAATTGTTATGCTTGTGTTTACTTGTGTCATGTTGGCTCACAGTCAAGTCACATGGGACAAAAAACTATTTCAATTTACGTCCTTATTTAAGCTCTTAATAAAGCTCAAGATGGAGTGATACTACAGGTGCGTTACGCCGGTGTAATTGTTTGTACTTGGTGTAGAGTGCAGTGAAGTGTTCCAGTGAAGAGAATCCTCAACAAGAAGATTCAAACCAGAGGGGAAACGCTCTGTGGCTCAACAGCCCCAACCATATAGCATATCCTGAGCGGCGGTGGTGAGCATATAAGGCCTGAAACCATGACGTAGTGACCTATAAAGATTTCTGAACATTTAGGTCGGGTTGACTTGCGTTCTAGAACTCTACCATCATATAGGGACGGAAGTTCAACACTCCGTTCGATTCCCCGTTATTATTATTTTTGTTTGGGATCCGGGGTGAGGGGGACAGGTTAGGCTTATTGAGGTCTCCCTATCTAGGTTAGATACAGTTATATAGTTAATAGATATAGTTAAACCTACATTGCCCGGGGTGCAATTCTCAACAGTTGCTATACTCCTTTGCTGCTAGGTAAACAGAGGTATTAGGTAAAAGGAAACGTGCCCAAACGTTTCTGTTCTCCGAAGTCGAACCCTGGACCCTTCGGTTGTGAGTCGACTGCACTACAGGATGGTTACGATGATGGTGATAACGGAGAATGATAACGCAATAGTGATGATGTAAAGTGACGAGCATGATATCTTAGCGTGTGTATAAATGGGTGGACACCAGAAGTAACTGCAGCAGCAGCAGAAGTAACAGTAACAGCAGCAGCAGCAGAAGTAACAGTAACAGCAGCAGCAGCAGAAGTAACAGTAACAGCAGCAGCAGCAGAAGAAACAGCAGCAACAGCAGAACAGCAGCAGCGACATAGTGGACCCTGACCTAGGTTATGGCGGCGCGGACCCTCCCTACAGTAACTGATCTCACCTGATCAACACAACACCACTAAAGTAACTCCCACGAGGCACCCCGGCAGCTAAACTGATGTGGGGCCACCATACCACCACTCTCTCCGGCAACAACACAATGGAAGCAGCCAAAATATACCATAAACAGTCTCCGTGGTGTAGTGGTAAGACACTCGCCTGGCGTTCCGCGAGCGCTATGTCGTGGGTTCGTATCCTGGCCGGGGAGGATTTACTGGGCGCAATTCCTTAACTGTAACCTCTGTTTAACGCAACAGTAAAATGTGTACTTGGATGAAAAAACGATTCTTCGCGGCGGGGATCGTATTCCAGGGACCTGCCCGAAACGCTACGCGTACTAGTGGCTGTACAAGAATGTAACAACTCTTGTATATATCTTAAAAAAAAAAAAAAAAAAAAAAAAAGAAACACCAATACAGACCCGCCATCATCTTATTGCTTTTGAGAAATGAAAAATTAAGGCAAGAGTGAGTACCAGGCGAGCATAGGCTTGATGGTCAGGCTTCCGGTACACATGCGGTCAGGAGGTCGTGGCGAGGGTCAGGACCTGTAGGTACAGGTCCTGTATAGGACCTGTACCTGGACGTCCTGTAGGTATAGGACCTGTGTACCTGTAGGTACACAGGCGGCCGAGGGGTGTAAAGAGGAGCTTGCTGAAGCAGTAACTTGTGAGCGCCATCTGTCACAAGGCTGGGTAATCACCAGGGTGGTGGAGGTGGGTGACGGTCAGTTGCCAGACCCGCTCCACCGCTGGCCTACTCCCGGCCCGCTCCACCGCTGGCCTCCTCCCGGCCCCCGCTCCACCGCTGGCCTCCTCCCGGCCCCCGCTCCACCGCTGGCCTCCTCCCGGCCCCCGCTCCACCGCTGGCCTCCTCCCGGCCCCCGCTCCTCCGCTGGCCTCCTCCCGGCCCGCTCCACCGCTGGCCTCCTCCCGGCCCCCGCTCCACCGCTGGCCTCCTCCCGGCCCCCGCTCCACCACTGGCTTCCTCCCACCTTGCCTGCTCCCCTACCTTTTTTTTGTTTTGTTTTTATGTAAACAGCTTAATGTGTTATCAAAGCTCTTTCACGCTTAATTAACTTCTCGACGAGTCTTTTCGTGAGGCGTCTTCAGCCTCCGCGGTGTAAATATGCTTGCCACTCATTAGCATCAAACTTTATGAATGCTGCTGTTTGAGTATCCTAATAAAGGCGTGTGTTCCCTTTTAGGACCTGGCCAGCCAGAGGAAACGCCCGTTTTCCAAGAGACTTTTTATGTCACTTGTTTGTGGCATTAGTCTATCTAATCGTGTGTGAGTGTGTACCTGTCCGTGTTTATCTTCACATCTACGTGTTTACCCTTGCACCTGTCCAAAGGCGCAGGTGGTGAAATAGTGTTCGTCCAGGACTAGCAGTGACCCAGGGTTCGAATCTCGCTGAGGCTATGGTTAGATCCTAATGTGGTTAATATTACAGAATCCGAGTTCCCCACTCTTCCTGGACCCCGCCGGGGTCTTCTCAAAATATAACTATCTAAATAAATGAATAAATAAAAAAAAAAACAAGAGTCCGGACTCCATCCTTGGACAGAGAACAGACATTCTCTTATAGATATAGAAGGTTGCTGTTTATGCGTATAACCAAGGAGCGTCCGGCCCTACGCCTGTAGTTGGGCCTGGGGTTGAACATGGCCAGGGAGGTGAACCCTGGCCACCCCTCTCTTCTAACCGTTCACCCCTGTTCACCCCCCTGCTTATCCAGTAGTAATTATAAGCCAATTTTCGGGTCATTTTCCATGGAAAACTAGTAAGGTAAGGCATAAAATGAGCTATACGAAGAGAACGCTCTCAACCTGCTGACAGGAGTTGTCTGCTCCTGTACTCACCTGTGTTACGAAATAATCTGACCTGGATTCCGCCGAGGAGCGATTGCGTTAAGGCACTTATGCTACCGTAGATGAACAGGATAGGAAGCTTAGAAAGTGTTAGAAATTCCGCAGACATACGCCGTTAGAAGGAAAATATTGATTGACGTCTAGCTACGATAAGACCTAACTTCGACTTAGCAGCAGAAGCTCCAGAAGTTAGAGGATCCGCCAGCAGAGGATCCAAGAGGAGAGGATCCAACACCTTAGGCTTCAGCGAGAAAAAAATGAGAGAAATCATCTAAGAGGGATCCCCATCCTACCCCTTAACTCCCCATATACCCCTTTTTCTACCCATTTCATCAAACCATCTCATGGAAAGGTTTTGTAACATCATCACCAAACGGGGTATCTAAATCATATCGCAATAAAGCCTAGCAATTAAGTCTTATCCCATGAATCAGCTGCATTAAGACTCATAACTAGAGGCAAGGGAGCATAAATTGACCCCTAAGTATCGGCGCGCTGAACCACCACTACCACTGCCTCACCATAATCACCTACGGCTAGTTCAACCATCAGCTGGGAGTCGAAGAATGATTGCACTCATTTCTGATCTCTTCACTGGAATTATACAATATTGCGTAATACAACGCCAGATTAGCCAGTTAATTTTCACATATACATGCTGCAACACTTTCTCTAATGGGCTATTTGTATCTCTAAACATTAAATGTAGGTTTGAGAGGCATCTTTCATCGTAAGACGGCATTCCATCACAGAGGTTAATTACAGTGATGTAAGCGGGGGAAAAAAAAGACGCATCAGGATGCGCAACGCTGTCTTGGCGCACGTGTCTGCCTGGCGGGCATGCCGCGACGCGGTCTGCCCGCCCAACTGATCGTACCGCAGATCGGTCACTGAACATGGAGGGTTGCCAGCTTCCAACCCTCCGCTCTCACAACTAATAGACTTCAATTTTTTTTCGTGTAAGCTGTCGACACCAACCTTACAAACGTAGCGTGTTAAGTAACGGTTCATAAACATTAACGTTTTCTGTATGTCGGATTCGATAGGTTAGGTAGGTGGGGTTGCTTGGGTTTGTACTTTTTGAGCTAAGCCAAAAGGTTGGATTTTTTACAAAGTGGCAAATCAAGAAAAACTGGTTGACGAACCAGCAGAAAAATGTTTTAGAATTACTGTCATTTTCGAAGTGACATTATCGGGAAGAAGAGTGGGGGGGGTCCCTCTTGGGTTAGAGACATTTAAGGTCAGAATGCCAGAAATATTTCCATGTGCAGCCCGCCATGTGTGTCTTATCATCCAAAAAAAGATATATTCAACCAGTTAAAGATATGTATATATTGAGTTTCCTTGATGTGGTTCCGAGGATCAATGTTTCCACAATCCGGTTTTCTGACCAGCAGGCCTCTTGGTTGACTTAGTTTGGTCAATCAGACCGCTATAGACGCTGCTGCAACACCGTTTAACCCATGCCACAGCCTGGCTGATCAGGCATGGGTTTTTAGTTTTTTTTAAGTTCTCTTTTGATCACCGAAATATATTGACTTTTTATGTCCCTTATATTTAGGGGGGATGGCTGTTGAAAATCGTAGTCTCTTTAATGTTAATAGACCTATAACCTCTTAGTCTACCCATTGCACCCGTAATTTTCAATGGGTTATTTTGTACACTTTGTCTTACGTTTCACAGGAAGACACACATTGCATGATTCTTGCTCTACACATGTGTCTGGGCACATCATAGGACCTAAACACAAACTTACGATATTTTTGTTTGTAGTTGATAACTAAAAAAAATATTATTCATAAATCATATTTACATTCTCGCAAGTTTAATGTTTAAAAATCATTTTAAACAAATGGAAACTCACAGCCGAGGGATAATTAGATATGAAAGGGTAGGAGGCGGGGCATCATTGCAATCAATCTTATATTGTTTCTGCTGTATTGTTCCTACCAATTTGTTGTCAACTACCATTTTAAGCTGTCATTGCAATCAATCATAGCTACCTATGTGCTTTAATATACTGTACCTATAATTTTCTCTCATCTTTTTTTTTCATTCCATGTAATCTGTTATCATTTTTTTGTCTATAAATTTTGCAAGTATTTACCTCCTTAAAATTTTCTTAGATTAAGGACCTGCCCGAAACGCTGCGCGTGCTAGTGGCTTTACAAGACTAATTACCATAATTGTATCCTCACATTCCTTATGTACATTCTTGTATATGCATAAATAAAAATAAATAAAATAAAATAAAATCAAGAGCTTGTTCTCACTCCCCCGTAGTCACTGATAGGTAAGCCTTGATAGGTAAGCGCAACTTTAATAATAATAATAGTAAATAATAATAATAAATAATAATAATTATTATTATTATTGGACAAAGTTTTTAATCCTAGCAGAGGTTTTAAGGTCCTAGGAATAGACTTATTTTAAGAAACCACTAGATAGTTGATGACTGTGTTAGGAGCAGAGTCCTATTAAAAGTGAATACGAGAAATGGGTTAATGTAAATAATCAATACAAATAAAGGGTTGAAAACCAGTCTTAGTTAAAGGAGCCTAAGACCGTATCAGTCTTATTTACAGGTCCCCGGCCGAGGGGTCGTTACTAGGGACGAGGTTCAAGTTCAAGTACGTTTCTTGAGACAAGTTCAAGTACGTTTCTTGAGACAAGTTCAAGTACGTTTCTTGAGACAAGTTCAAGTACGTTTCTTGAGACAAGTTCAAGTACGTTTCTTGAGACAAGTTCAAGTACGTTTCTTGAGACAAGTTCAAGTACGTTTCTTGAGACAAGTTCAAGTACGTTTCTTGAGACAAGTTCAAGTACGTTTCTTGAGACAAGTTCAAGTACGTTTCTTGAGACAAGTTCAAGTACGTTTCTTGAGACAAGTTCAAGTACGTTTCTTGAGACAAGTTCAAGTACGTTTCTTGAGACAAGTTCAAGTACGTTTCTTGAGACAAGTTCAAGTACGTTTCTTGAGACAAGTTCAAGTACGTTTCTTGAGACAAGTTCAAGTACGTTTCTTGAGACAAGTTCAAGTACGTTTCTTGAGACAAGTTCAAGTACGTTTCTTGAGACAAGTTCAAGTACGTTTCTTGAGACAAGTTCAAGTACGTTTCTTGAGACAAGTTCAAGTACGTTTCTTGAGACAAGTTCAAGTACGTTTCTTGAGACAAGTTCAAGTACGTTTCTTGAGACAAGTTCAAGTACGTTTCTTGAGACAAGTTCAAGTACGTTTCTTGAGACAAGTTCAAGTACGTTTCTTGAGACAAGTTCAAGTACGTTTCTTGAGACAAGTTCAAGTACGTTTCTTGAGACAAGTTCAAGTACGTTTCTTGAGACAAGTTCAAGTACGTTTCTTGAGACAAGTTCAAGTACGTTTCTTGAGACAAGTTCAAGTACGTTTCTTGAGACAAGTTCAAGTACGTTTCTTGAGACAAGTTCAAGTACGTTTCTTGAGACAAGTTCAAGTACGTTTCTTGAGACAAGTTCAAGTACGTTTCTTGAGACAAGTTCAAGTACGTTTCTTGAGACAAGTTCAAGTACGTTTCTTGAGACAAGTTCAAGTACGTTTCTTGAGACAAGTTCAAGTACGTTTCTTGAGACAAGTTCAAGTACGTTTCTTGAGACAAGTTCAAGTACGTTTCTTGAGACAAGTTCAAGTACGTTTCTTGAGACAAGTTCAAGTACGTTTCTTGAGACAAGTTCAAGTACGTTTCTTGAGACAAGTTCAAGGACGTTTATTGAGACAATAAAATACATCTCAAAGGGATAGAGTAGCTTAGGCTTCTTCTACCCTCCTCTACTTCAAGTCCCTCAAGGGGCGCACAAATCCAATGAGTACAAATCCACAAATCACAATACAAGAATCCCATTTAATATTGCAGGTTAATATAGTAAGCACAGCATATAAGTGTTACACTCTTGGGGGCTTGTAGCTGTTAAGTATTCTGTCTATCATACCAATATCACACATCCAAACAATTTGATGTGGTACACTACTTATTTCTATAGTTATCAATAAGTTGACACACTAATACATAATGTTCTAAGGTGTGGGCGTGCGGCATACTACATATTTTACACTCCTTATCTTGTTCGCTGACATGAACACCGTATTGCCAGATACATTTGTGTTCTACTCTTAATCTCATGTAAATTGAATCCTTCCAAGTCTTTAAATAGCCTTCCAATAGTCTTTAAATACGAATTTGTATTTATTATTGCATAATTTTTAAGTGTGTTACTGCTGTAACACACTTAAGTGACCGGCCGTGGACCCCGCCCCGGGGGAGTGACCGGCCGTGGACCCCGTCCCGGGGGAGTGACACTAAACCATTGCTCGATTCCTTGGCACTGCTTCCACCAGAGAAGGCTTTACCATTCACACCTCCATTCAAAACATCTCAATACACTTGAGGCAATGGTCTTGCCTAAAATGCATTCCCTGCAATGTATAAGGAGCTGCAACATCGATTGATCGAATGATTGATGAATATTAAGCCGCCCAAGAGGTGGCACGGGCATGAATAGCCCATAAGTGCTTGTGCAACGTCAACTTGCACACATGAGACATCTCCCGTCACGAAGGTGCAACCGCACTTCCACAGATCTCCAGTATCATCTATTGATACTGGTAATGGCTCAAAAGGGCCACCACTTACGGGCTATTCATGCCCGTGCCACCTTTTGGGTGACTTAAATCTTCATCTTAAATTTTCATCAATCGTCAACTTGCAGCTCCTTATACAGCAGGAGCGTCGCAGAGATGAGTACGGGTTCACGAAGGAAGGCATATGGTCCGCGAAGCTGCTGGCGGAGTTAGCAGTGTTGGCCCAGAAGGGTGGGGACGGGAAAAAGGTATTGACCGCGCGGGTGTGAACTACCGCAGAGCGCCGTAGGGCCGGCGTGTGGGGCAGCGCCAAGAATGCCCCCTGGCTGCCGCGGGTATAAATACACGCTTCGTTGCCCGCCACCCGTCATTACCGCCCGTGGCAGCCCGCGGGACACACCCGAGACCCGATGTTATCTGGAGGATATCTTGCCATCTAGGTTATCGAGGCTGCAAGAGAGAGGGAGGGAGGGAGGTCCCACACACACGGTACCAGCCGGCGCAAGGAGGAAGAGGTTATACCTCATGTCTCAGGGAGGGAAGAAGGGGGGGGGGGGAGTTACCTCAGATCCTAAGGGCCATGGAGGTGGTCAGACTGAGGGCGGGAAGGTCACCTCACGTCCTAAGGGGTAAGGCCAGGAAGGTAAGAGCAAGAGATACCATCTCTCTCTCTCTGCTGTCAAGTTATGGAATGTCTCGTGTCTCTCTCCACCACAATACCCGCACCACTTTTTTTGTACAGCTTCAAGACCAATTTGGGGCTTGTGCTGTACGGGTCGCCCCGGTGCCCTGCGGTCACAACCGATCATAAAACAGTGCCGCCAAATTTCCCGACCTGCAGAATATATGTACGAACCTGCGAGTTAAATCAAACCTGATGATCTGAGTAATTACGAGGAGGCAACACTCGCAAATGGTCTACGTAATACTAAGGTCATCACTTAAAGTGGCCCCATAAGTTACAGCCCCGCCCTTGTGCCAGGTAAGTCCACAACGGGATCACCATAGCCCGTGCTACTTTGGAACTTTTGTTCAGAGTATCTGAATCTAAAAAACAACATTACAGTGGCTACAGTCACTCAAAAAATGAGCGAAAACATTGATGACCACTGTCTTTGGGCACGTACATACTTCAAAGCGAAAAGTGGTACCGTGTATGCACTCAACCCCCCCACCCTCCACCCTTCCCTCACCCACCAACGCACGCACAGACACGCACCCTATACCCCCCTTCCCCCCCCCCCCACCCATCAATTTCCAGGGGCCGTCTCCCTCAATCCCTGGACACTGCAAATTGCATTTTAAACATTAAGAGAGTAGACTGGCGTTGCCCCGAAGCACAGTGACAGCAGCGGTCAGTGGCCACGCCCTCACACTCACAGCCACACACACACACACACACACACACACACACACACACACACACACACACACACACACACACACACACACACACACACAGCACAAGGGGACACAAGTGAAAACTGAGTGCCCAAATGAGCCTGTTATAAAAATAGATGTAGAGCTTCTATGGGGTACTGGTACTATTAAGGGGTAAGGGTAGTTAGAAGACAAGAGTATCAAATATGGGAGAGCTAAAAGGCCCGGCCCCCAAAATAAACTATCCACAGTAGTAATAACTTGCTACTAGACCATATATGTTAGTCTAAGGGTTGATCAATGCGCTCCCACATAGGAAAAAGGGATACTCTGTAATTCATGTACTTATTTATTAACCCCTTAACAACCCCCCATATACACTCACACCAATAACAATAATAATAATAACTTTACCACACTATCTTACGTTAACAGCCTTGGTCCACTTAGGCAGGATACAAGGTTTACACTAAACAAGCTAGGGTAAAGTACTACTGGATAAGCACTGAAGCTGGATGCAGCTTAGGGTAGTGAGACCATGTGGTACCCTAATACAAAATACAACACTTAGGGGTACCCAAAACACTGGCAAATACTAACCCCAGGTCTCACCAATATTTACTACCAGAGTAGGCACACTTAACACCATAGAATACTTAACTTAAGGGTACAGGAACTTCAGGTAAGGGAAATAAGTAAGAGGAGAAGGGAGAAGAGTAGGGGTGCAGCCACAGAGTAGGTCTTATCCGCACGAACACCAGCCAGAGAAGAGAGAGAGCTCCTAGCGACCAGCTGGCCTCCCTCATGTCGTGGTGCCGGAAGGAGCCTAATTGATCGTGCAGCTAAGCACATTAAAGATCTTCCCCTATGCAACGTATTGTTACTGTGGAAACCAGTAAACTGTGGAAATCTCCAGTGGAAACCAGACCTCTGGTTTCCACTGGAGAACCCAGGGTCGTAACAGTATGCAATACTTTGTTATTAGCAATTTATGTTAAATCTATATTTCCTTAATCGAAACGACGAAAGTTCAACAGAAAACCCTCTAGTTCAATTTTGGTATGCAACAGGTGAACACCTACCAGCCGGAGGTGATCTGGTCAGATGGTGACTGGGAGATTGAAGACTGGTACTGGAACTCCACCAAGTTCCTGGCGTGGCTCTTCAACGACTCCCCCGTCAAGGACACCGTTGTGGTCAACGACAGATGGGGAAGAGGAATTCGGTGTCATCACGGCTCCTTCTATAACTGCGACGATCACTACAACCCGGGTATGAACTCTTCACTTTCCATTGCCTACTGCAAGTTATCCCACATCCCAGTGAGTTGTAATATTATAATAACATATAGATCAAATTAGGTACCCTTGGGCAGCGAATGTCTGTGAGCAGAATGGTCGACATTAATGCTCTAGGCTGATGAGGTAGGACTTAGTGAGAAATGGGACACGAACAATGTTGTCTCCCCGTAGTAATATCTGGAGAAATGGTGGTGTTGCAGGAGTCCTTCAGCCTCACAAGTGGGAGAACTGCATGACTCTGGACCGAGGCTCTTGGGGCTACCGACGCAACGCACCAGTAGCAGCCTATCGCACCATCCACGACGTCATCACAGAGCTCGCACAGACCATCAGCTGCGGCGGTAAGCTTACTCAACAGTTTTAACCCACAGTGTGGCTATTATTTGGGGTGATCCATTTTCCTATGCATGATTTTTCCGGACAAAAATTACTAAATTCTGGTGGGTATAGTTTGAATGTAGTGAGCTCAGATTATGGCCAGTATGGGTGAGGCTGCGACCCAAGTCTCCCTCTCTCACACCGCCACCGACATGTTTTTCTCAACTGTTTCCACTAATTCTTTCAGCAAGACCGATAATTATTAAATAATCACAAATATCATAGACTAATCCCTGAAAATTAATTTTCAACTCGTGGCCACTGTCCTTACAAATCTCTGACAACAACAGGTTCAATAATAGCGCAGCTGACTCGATTTTCAATAACTCAACTCTGAAAGCGTACATTTACGCCAACAGCACTTGAGCAGTTAACCGAAGTCAGAGTTAAAAGAGTAATGTAATGTTAGAAACATTGCGACTGTACGAAATATTGGATCTCTCTTACTGATCTTCACTCACACAGGCAACATATTAATCAACGCGGGACCCACACACGACGGCCGCATCCCACCCATCATGGAGGAGAGACTGAGGCAACTGGGCTCCTGGCTTGACATCAATGGTGATGCCGTGTATGATTCAACACCGTGGACACACCAGAACGACAGTGTCACTCCTGGAGTATGGTGAGAGTAACATAAAGACTCGCCACATCTTATTTCTGTATATTCTGTACCTTTTATGTATTGATTTTGTTGGATTTAGATCCCTATCATCACGACATCCATATTTTGTTTTCATTCAAATTTCGCAAATTCAACATTAGCTAGCTCATGTCTGGGAACTGTTATTATTACCTAAGCTCAAAACTTAAGATTTTCAGCATTAAACTGCATCTACCAATCTTCCGTCGATGTAAAAAGCCTAAACCTAAGGTCGAATGTTGTATCTGAAATATTTTTCCCCTTAAATTTATGATAATGTGGGGTTTTGGCTTAAAAATAGCTTTATTTAGATAACCACCAAGGTATTGCAATTGAATATTGAGCAGTGAGGTGTTTGGTGGTGCAGGTTCACCAGTAAGGGGGAGACGGTGTACGCCCTGGTGCTGTCGTGGCCCCGAGGCAACCTACTGACTTTGGGCTCCGTCCTTCCCACACCAGAGACTAGCATCTCCATCCTTGGCTACCATGACAACGACATTAGACGCAACCTCCAGGTAAGATGGTCCGTCCTCCACTGCCAGGGACCTTCTGTAACCAATCTTTGTATAAACACAATACCATCAAAGATTACTTTGCGTTTTGAGGCGAAAGTTTAATGGCGGAAGTTGTAATTGTATTAATTATATAAACTAAATTATCTGTGCATGAAACTAAAAGCATTATAGATTTTTGAGGATTTACCTAAGTAATGACGGCGTCAGGGAAATTGTTAATTTATATCATCACTTTAAAGACAATGAAATAAGCGTTTTTTCACATAATTGTTTTCAATCTTTTTTTTTACAGTTCAAGTTTGTGAAGAAAGGGATGCAAGTGGTGTTTCCTCCCATGTCTGACATGAGCAGTCAGTGGGCGTGGGTGTTGGCCATGTCAAAAGTGAAGCCTGTCAAGCAGACCTTTCCCCCGCCAACTGTCATGTCCTGGCTCACCGCCCCTTAAGGCTCTCCCTAAGGAGATCCAACAGAACCAGAACAGGTTCATCCCCAACTCCACTCCAGTTAAACTACTGCAACATAACTACAAAGTCTAAATTCCTTTATCTGCCCGATTACTACCCTCATTTCCCAGACTTACATTCTCCATAACTACAACTCCCATACCTCCGAAATCATCTCAAGATAACTTCGCATCTCCCGTTCTCTCCACTGTTCACTCTGTGATATATCCTCTGTTAGGTTCCAGAAAAGTCTTTACAAAAAGAAATGTTATCACCCAAGTCATTTTTCCCTATGTAGATTAATTAATTTTTTATGAGCACCAAACTAGTTGTCTTTTTCGCTAGCACCATTCTTTGTTGCTGATTTATTGTACTTAATATTTTTTCTGTAATGGAATTATGTAATGCAAAATCAAGTCAACATTTAAACATAATTTTTGCGATATTTCTCTGGAAGTAATTCATAAGTTTCCAGCAGCACCAGCGTCAGTAGTTTATCAACGACGAAGTCAATCGCAAAATTACTTGATCATGTTAAAATTAAATTAAATATGTATGTATTTCATTGTATTTTTCCCCTTTAAAAAATTATTAGCCATCCTCTGCACGTGTGAATTTTGTAACTGCAGGATACAATAAACTAGTTAAATAAAACTCACTCTTTGCTTTAGTGCCTTGCATATCTTTGGGTTACAGTGATGTTAATTTGATAAACTATGAATAGACTCTAGACATATGTCAGTCAACTCTGTAACTAACTCATTACAACTGTAACTTGCTTAGCTAAACTAATTTTGGAGTTCAGTTTGAGCCCATTATGTGCCTCCTGTAAGCCTTTCCACTACCACTCACAGGATGGGTATGGGCTGTATAATAAATGACCTAAACTAAATAACACATTTGCCCGGCATGGCTAATTGGGTTATTATGCAGATAATAGGATAATCTCATTCTTAAGAGACAGTTTCAGCGTATCTACTGAACACTAAGAGAGTAGAAATAGCCTAAGCTACTCTATCAGTTTGAAACTTATTTTATTATCTCAATAAACGTACTGAAACTGAACACTTACGAAAGTAGAATTTGGTACTACTAAATTTGGACAAACCGGAAAAGTTTTTGTATTTATGTTGCCAATAAAACCTAACGTAACCTAACCACCAAGCCTAATACACGCTGAGCGAATATTTCATATATGTGGTATACCAGGCCTAAGAATATTTACATTTGGCTTTTAGCCTTATTTTTTCCGGACTATAAAGTGAACAATATCAAATTCTACTGCCTAATTGTCTATTACATCAACATATGTACGATACCTGGTTACCTGGTTGATACCTGGTTGATGGGGTTCTGGAAGTTCTTCTACTCCCCAAGCCCGGCCCGAGGCCAGGCTCGACTCCACCAGGCTGTTGCTTGGAGCGGCCCGCAGGCCCACATACCCACCACAGCCCGGTTGGTCCGGCACTCCTTGGAGGAATAAATCTACGATGGTCCACTGGGAGGACGTTGAACAACCGCGGACCAACGAGTCCACATAGGTACAAAAAGTACTATCTAAACAGGAGCATGGGTTGGGGAAATGTTGTATAGAAGAAAACTGTAATGAAGGTAAATTTTCATAAAATTATTTATGAGGTATTAAAAGCGCGACATATTAAACGCAGAGATCAGTAGACCTACTGCTGTGTTCCTCTCTTCTAACCTTCGTATAGGAGAAAGAACGAGTCCCAGCAGACATACAACGTAGCCACAATGTTTAATATCGTAAACCGTAATAACCTAAACAAAAAAGGACTTTTGTAGTTACGTATTATGGTTGGTAGGGTGTGTGGTCGTCCCGTCTACAGGGCAGTCTGGAGGCCTCGACCAGTGCTGCCAGATTGGGCTACAAATAGCGAATTGGGCTACTTTTGAGAGCCCCGCGCGCCCAAATTTGTGTAATTTCGCTACTTGCTACTTTTTGGGCTAATTTAAAAGCAAGATGTGCTAATTTGGGCTATTAATGTAAAGAATGTACAATTGCGAGTTACATGAAAGTAACTAAGCTATAAATAATTGTAAATATTAATTAATACTACATAATATTATTTAATAAATTAGTCCCAATTCAATGCAGAGTTTTCTTCCAAGCACAGAAACTTGTAAATATAAATACAAGATAATAGATAGATCGATAAATAAATAGACAACTTTCAAATATTGCACCAAGTAATGGCGAGAGGAAAAAAACTAGACAGTATACATTACATTTGAAATTAATAATGGATGAATGGTATTAAATTGGTGTATGTTTGTGTGTATACCAGATAAAGTCCATTTAATGACAGAATTTAGCCATTTTGTGTAAAAACTTTTATATCTCATATTATTAATTATAACAGGAATCGAAAAAAGTCATAGTTTGTATATACAAGAGATGAAACAGAGAGCCATGAGCTAGAGCGATGTGCTGAGTCCATAAGGAGGCGGAGCTTCCAGAGATACCTTCCTGTGATTGGCTGTTGCAGGGAATACCAACACTCTTTTATGAATAAAATTAAACTAAGAAATAGGTCCTTGTGCACAGCAACAAGGTTGTTGTAAAAAAGAACAACAATTTCTGTTTTGCACCTGACAGAAATCTTCATCTAACTGAATAATTTACTCGATTAAGAAGGCAGAGCAGCGTATCATTATTTGTGTCAAGGCAACCCCCAATAATAACGTCTCAAGTTAGGTAGCCACAGCCCATTTTTATATAACATCTGTTATATCCTGCAATATTTAATTATCACTATATTAATACTTTTAAATACTTAACATTTCACTTTTTAGGTAGATTAAAGTTGAAGCAGAATGTCACAAGCAAGGATGGTGTGCTGAATAAAGATGATTTATTAAGTGGATGGAGCCTTTAACTGATCCCTTCCTGTGATTGGCTGTTGTGTGAATGTCAACAAAGAATGATATGCCATTTATTATGCACCCCATACCATCTGTGGGCAGAGCTAGGAACCTCCTACCCGAGCACAACAACCCGCCTTATGGGTTGCTGTTTGGCTATTTATAGTGCGTTGGAAAAAAACTAGATGGCGTTAGTGGTATTTTGTGGGGTAATTTGTTATAAGTGTAATTTGATGTCAACAGATGGCGTAAGCTGTACCTTATGGCCACTATTGACCAGCCAGTTGATAGTGTTCTCTTGTGCCGACAGATGGCATCAGCTGTATTATTATTATTTTAATAATATTATTACATTAATAATAATGTATTATTATTACTTTAAACACTGATCTATACGTCTGGTAGCTTATAATAAGGTTTTATAACGTGCTGGTATTAGGTATTCTCAACACAATTTATACTTTAATCTCAATTAGTATTAAGTTTTAGTCTTTAGTGTTTTTCCTGCCCGAAACGCTTTGCGTAATAGTGGCTTTAGGCATTGTATGTACTAGCTCTATCTATAAATCCATCAACTTTTGTATCTTACCTTGTGTGTACGTACTTTACCTGAATAAAAATTTGTATTTGTTATTTGTAACGAATTCTGCAATTACTTTTTTTTTTTATCTACTGTTGAGAATATGTAAGACAAATGTAAGGTTTTGAGGCTAAGTAACGAAGATAGTTACAAGATACGAGCCAGATGGTGTTGAGAATGCAAAACGGATTATGATGAGAACTTAAGCCAAAAAATCAATGCGTAAATGTTCGCAAATAAATAAATAAATAAATGTTTATTTAGGTAAGATACATACATACAAGAGATTTTACAAAGATTGATGGATTTATAGATAGTGCTAGTACATACAATGCCTAAAGCCACTATTACGCAAAGCGTTTCGGGCATTATGAGACTGGGATTTATTTCTCGAAAAGTTAGCAATAAAATACGCTTTTTAGTCTTTATTTTTAAAATTAAGACCAGGGATTCCGTCTAACGAAGCTGCAAGCTAAAACACCGTTATCCTATAATGTTCATCTGTAGCTTGACCCTAAATACTCGTTTATTAAACGAATTTATTGTTAGAGTTCATTAGGAATCAGCTTTGTTGATGGCAGAGTTTCCAACAAATACCTTCCTGTGATTGGCTGTTGCGGGGAATGCCAACGCTTATATGAATAAAATGCAAAATAAGAAATACGTCCTTTTGCTCAATAACCTTGTTGTTGTACAAAAGAACAACAATTTCTGTTTTATACAAGACAGAAATTTCCATCTAACTGAATAATGTAGACGAATAAGAGGGCGGAGGCATTAATCGCCGATATTATTTGTGTGAGGCAACACCCAATAATAACGTCTCAAGTTAGGTAGCCAACCCATGTTTCTGTAACACCCGTTACATCCTGCAATATTTAATTATCACTATATTAATACTTTTAAATACTTAACATTTCACTTTTTAGGTAGATTAAAGTTGAAGCAGAATGTCACAAGCATCGATGGTGTGCTGAATAAAGATGATTTATTAAGTGGATGGCGCCTTTAACTGATCCCTTCCTGTGATTGGCTGTTGTGTGAATGTCAACAAAGAATGATATGCAATTTATTATGCACCCCATACCATCTGTGGGCGAAGCTTGGAACCTCCTACCCGAGCACAACAACCCGCCTTATGGGTTGCTGTTTGGCTATTTGTAGTGCGTTGGAAAAAAACTAGATGGGGTTAGTGGTATTTTGTGGGGTAATTTGTTATAAGTGTAATTTGATGTCAACAGATGGCGTAAGCTGTACCTTATGGCCACTATTGACCAGCCAGTTGATAGTGTTCTCTTGTGCCGACAGATGGCATCAGCTGTGTTATATTACTTCCGAATTCCCTTTAAACACTGATCTACAAATCCCTTGGCTTATGATAAGGTTTTATATAATTTATGATAAGTATTAGATAACTGGAGTTCTGCAATTACTTTTATTTATCAACTGTTCAGGATATCATCATATAATGTCTGGTTAGGACGTACTGCTCTCGATTGATGAAGATTAAGCCACCCAAGAGGTAGCACGGGCATGAATAGCCCGTAAATACTGCTCTCGTAATATTATTCCGGGGGGGGGGGGAACTATCAAGTGAAAGCGCCAAGCCATTTCGACTATATAGCACTCGGAAGGGATCAGGATACGGATTTGGGCAAATGGAATACATTAGGAAGTGATGTGGTG